AGTAAAACTCAGAAACTGATTAATGTTCTTCTAAGTTTCTGTGGCCAATGAAAGCCACACATTTTAGTATCTCGCATCCACAAATCAACAAAGCATTTCAAGACACTTGGCTGTTTTGGCAGGCAATCACATAAAGGTGAACAACTTTAAAATATTTTTATTATCAATTTTGGGCAAGGAGAAAATGATATTTAGAAGGCTGTAATTTTAACAGTTGTAGGTACCCCATATATCTGGCAATCTTAACCTGGTTTTCTGGAGGGAGAATGACGTTTGACATTCAAATACTGGCTGGTAGAGAACATTGTGTGGCCATTGGTTTTTGCATTCCTCCAACTCCTACCAGTTTTGACCAGATGGAAGGAACATTATAGCAGGAGTGAGAGGAGGTGCTACCATTCAGTTATTTTCTATACCTTGAGTGTGAAATGGTAATGGGAAAATACTGCTGATTCTTCAGAATTCTATAAAGGCTAATTCCTTAAATAAATGGTTTTAGTTTTAGTGGAACTTTATGACTCTCTAGCTGATTATAGAAATAATTATTATGAGTATTTAGAAATGCTGATAATTTGGAAAATTATACTTCTCGTACATGTACTCCACATAGAGATTTCTGAGTGTGTGGCTCATTATACATTGATCCTTCAGAGAGCAACAGGGCCAAATCCCATCAGGACCTAAGTAACAGAATTTATGATATGTGGATCACTGGCAAGACAGACCTGAAGACTTTATGGTCTATTCAAATCAATGAAGTCTGCTCGCTTAAAAAGCCCAGTGGTATTTTGCATAGAAAAACCTATGGACCATAAGCAGTAACCCTTGTACAGGAAGAGAATAACTCATCTTGAAATGTCTTTCTGCCATTCTGAACTAGTACTTTAGTCCATATGAAAATAATTTTATGCTTTTAAAAATGTTAGGAGCACAGACAATACAACTTTTAGCTATCTAAAGCCCTCTTTTAAAGAGCTCAAGATATATTACAATGCCCACTTGGTTATCTTCCTGACACTCCAGTGAGTTAGAACAGCTGTGACAGGGCCAATATCATAAGAGTCTCACATGGAACGAGGATGTTGCTTGACCAATTCTAGTTCTCTTAAGTTGAGAATTTCCATTCAATCTGTCCTGCTTACAATCTGTACCCCTACTCCCTGCCCTGAGATTTCATGTGTTTGGTAACAAAAAAAGACATACTTGCTATTGGCTTAGACTTCATGTGTCAAAATCAAGGAAGAGAATTCGACAGCAGATGTATATATGATCCGGAAACAGAGATTTATGACAGATCTTTAGTTATACCTGTGATACTGCCAGTGATGAGCCAAGTTAATTCACAGGAGCATTTCTGCATGTCACCAGTTAGCCCGGAGGCAAAAAGGCCTAGTGTTTTTTTGTGTTATTTTTATAATCCACTTAAACTACAGTGAGGACATCCTCAGAAAGGGAAAGACTATGGTGTGTTGGGCTTTTTTTTTTTGTTTTGTTTTACAGAATCCTGATGGCTCTATCTCTATAATTCAAATGGTTAACAAGGGCTTTGTAACATATTACAGCTTGCTATCACTATTCTATTGTGCTAAATTTTAGACAAAAAGATAGCTTATTGATTGAAGCAGCACAATATGACAGGCCCAAATAATAAATTCAGGCCACTGGAAAGGCTAAAAATGACATAAGAACACAACAGCAGCTCTCCAAAGACCTGAAGTGAATCTAATCTCTTGGCATCTCAGCCTTTTTCTTCCTGTGGGCTACCATGAATACAAGACAGAATAAAACCAGGCATTTAATTTGAACGTGGAAGATGACATTTAATGCAAAGTTAAAAAGAAATGTATAGTTGTTGGAGGGATGAGGAAAAACAAAAGGAACTCTTTATGAAGCTTCCAAATGCTGAACCACAGTAATACAAGGAGTTGATTAAATTGGCTACGGAATTTGGGGGGAGCTTTCACGGCTGCATATCCTTTTCTCCCTTAAAGAAAAATTTCTGAGACACAGTTATCCTTTCCACATCGAGACTTTCCCCATCTTGGTTTTGATATATTGTGGACTGGCATAAGGAATTAAACGGGAATTTTTTGGGAGCTTTGCGGAAGCCATAGACAACATGGGAAGGCCAGCAGGCAACACAGAGCCTATGACCAAATACTTAAACCAAATTTTACAACAAGGGACTGTAAACACCCCATAAAAGAAAAAGAAAAAATTCAGACTTCTTCTTTGGTATGAAGGGAGGGCCAGAAAATTGTACCCGGATTTTCCAGATCGTGGGAGCACTGTGCCTCCAACTCCCACGATATGGAAGGGATAACTGTATAGCTTTAGGCTGTGCCATTTCAATGACTTGTTTTTTTGGCTTTTTTCAGATCCTAGAATGAATGAAACTATGGAAACACAGAGCACTGAGGTAAAGGTAAATGAAGAAAATGACTCATAAACATACATTTCAAACTGGATGTCCCAGGGATATCTTCAAGTCGACAAGTTTGAAACTAATTTCATTATCTTCTCCCCTAAACCCTCCCCTCTTTCAAACTTCCTCATTCCTGTCAAAAGCATCACCAATTCCTTCAGTGTCTCACGTTTGTATTCTCAGAATCATACTAGGTTCCTTTCTTCTCCCTCAGCCAATCAGCTGCCAAGTTTTGGAATTTTTACCTGCACACCATCTCTCTGATCCTCTCTCTCCACCGATATTACACTACCTTAGCTCAGGTCCCCAGCCACCTTTTGCCTAGATTACTAGAATAGTCTCCTAATTGGTCTCCCCACCCTGCCCACTGATGACACAGGGTCTTTAAACACAGGTTTGATCACATGATTGCTCTCCTTAGTAAACTCCAGTGGCTATCCACTGGCTTTAGGATAAAATAGAAACTCCTCACACAGCCTAGTCCCAACCTATCTTTTGAACCTCAGTGGACAGGACTTCCCCTCCCACAATCTGCATTTTAGCCAAACAGGTTTTCCTGTTGCTCCATCTCTCATCTCCCTCTTCCTATACCTCTGCACTTGGCTGGGAGCCATTACTGTAATGCACTCCACTCTCTCCTTGCTTCTGCCTCACAGAGCCCCTCTCTCTTAAGATGCCGGATCTCCACAACTGCTAGTGCCCTGCTTCTCAAATAACTTTGTATTTAACAACTTTTTATATATTTGTATTTATTCACTTTCTATTTATGCCGTATGTATTTTTTTTTCCTATGAACTTGCTACCTCTTTGATTAGAATATTAAGGTCACTGTGAGTAGAGATTGTTTCATTCTATGTACTTGTATCATCAGTGTCTGGCACATAGTAGGTGCTTAATGAATTAGTTTAAGATTAATTTAAAAGCGTAAAAAATTCAGAGATGATAGTGAGAATGAAGGACTACTGTGGTAAATTCTGAAAATACTTATAAATAAATGCCTTTTCAAAAACCATATAGATCAACTGTAGCATAGCTGAATGGGGACTAAAGGCAAACTTCTGAGGTTTTAAAACTGCAAGGGACCTTAAAGACCACCAAGTCTGATCCTACAAATTTACAGATAAAACAGCTGAGGCTCAGTGAAGAGGAGTGGCTTGCCCAACACCCTACTGGGAGTAAGTTTCAGAGCTAAGATATGAACTCCTATTCTTAGACTCCAAATCTAGTGAGCTGTGCTTCGACTTGCAGGCTGTATCTCACTACAGATCTTTAGTCCATCAGAGACTCACCATCTACAGATGGACAAGTCATAAACTTTGGGAGCCTCATCTTCTTCTTTTATAAGAGAGGAGCAATGATTCTCTGGTGACATCCATGCTTTGAAAAAAAAAGGGGTTTGTCAAGTAAAATGAAAATAAAAGATACAGCCTACGAGGGCATGAAGTGGGTCAGAAACATTGACGTTTCTGTTTGAGCATTAAGGAGATGAGTGCCTGTGCAATGTAAATTATGAAGCTTGCTGCTATTGCTAATGAAATTCTGGTTTGTTCTTTAGTAAATTCCACACGGGTCAACCACTGCAAATCTGGGTCCCTTTCTGTTTTTCATTCTAAGAAGTTTGACTAGAAAGTAAAGTGACTTAGTCACATAGGAAATAAATACCATTCCTTCACAGCCGTGTGTAAAGTGCCTCACATCTTGCTTCACACACCACAGACCAATTATCACAGGTGCTACAGAGAACACCACAATTACTTATACATTCAGTTCATGTGCTCATGTAATCTCCAATAAGAAGTCGGTTAAATGTTGGACTTTATATGTTAAGATGGCTGCTTATGTAGTGTTCAGGGATACAATCCAAACAAAACCAAAATTTTTTAAAAAAATAAAGCTTGTAATAAGTAACAGGAGCACCTTCTGTTTGTATAGTTTTGTGGCCATTTTCAAAATGTTTTTACATATAGAATCTCATTGGATCCTATGAACACTGGTAGGCCGTAGGATAGGTAAGACAACTTCTGTTACACACTGGAGAACAGTGGGGTTAAGCTGACTTTGTGCTAATGTCATATAACTAGTGGGTGGCCCATAACAATGCGGTGTGAGGGAAAAATAATTGGTCGTTGAACCAGAAGAACTAGATTCAAGTCCTGTCTCTGACATTAGCTGTGTAAGTGTTAAGACTCAGCTTGCTCATCTCTAAAATGGGGGGGGGGGGGGGGGAACTGCTCTCCTGACCGAAGATGAAAGCTGTTGTGAGGAAAGTACTTGGATAACCTTCTCCACACTACATAAACATGAGTTATTATCTGCTGATGCATAGCGCTCCTTCCACTACACTCTGCTGATTCTTCTGAAGGAACTTTTAGACAAGCCATAGATCAAAGACTAAAGTTCCATATGAAAAGGTGTTATACGTGTAAAAAATTCATACATTCATATAAATTAAATAGATTTGTATTTTTTCCTTCCATTTTCATGTCATTTTCTTTGTATCCATGCTTAGCAGACTACTTTGCTTTGCCAAAACACAGGCAGGAATCCCCTTTCTCTGTTTCTAGAAACCTCCTACCTGTCATCTGTGTTGCGAAGCGATGGGAGCCGGAAGCTTGTGTTCCTGTCAAGTTTTGATTGACTTTTGGTCCTCTTTATGGAGCCTTTCAACCGCTTGCTGAAGAATCCCTAAAATGAAAAGGCAAAGGGATTGTGAGATGGTGAAATTCTTAAGAATCATATTTTGTTTCCACTTTTCAGAGGCCCCTTTGTAGAAAATGGGTGAAAATATTTGCAATCAATATCAGCATAAGAGCTTGATTTGTAACATGCCTGTCAGTCCAAATCAAATGGCAATTTATGCCATAAGAATCTTATAGACTCTTAAAAATGACTGCTACTATAAATTCATTTTTTAAAAAATATTTTCCCTTTCATCTCCTTGTCCCTTATTCAGTCTTCATACTAATTGCACTCACTTTAGTGGCTGAATAGAAGATGGATTAGAGTGGAGAGAGACTTAAGGCAGGCAGACCCTCCAGCAGCTACTACAATAGTCCAGGTATGAGGTGATTTGGGCATTTACTAGAGGGTTGACAGTGTCAGAGGAGAGAAGGGGGTGCATTCAAGAGATGTTGCAAAGGTGAAATCAGCAGGCCTTGGCAACAGCTTGGCTATGGGGCAGGCGGAGGCTGAGAAAGTGAGGAATCCAGCATGACTCCTAGGTTGTGAACCTGAGGGACTGGGAAGATGGTGCTACCCTCTATAGCAACAGGGAAGTTTGAATGTGGAGAGGGTTTGGGTTTTGGACACGTTGAGTTTAAATGTCTACTGGACGTCCAGTTCAAGATGTCTAAAAGGCAACTGGAGATGTGAGACTGGAAGTCCACAGAGAGATTAGGGCTATATAAGAAAATTTGAGAATCATCAGCATAGAGATGATGATTAAATCCACAGAAGCTCATGAGATCGCCAAGTGAAGTAATTTAGAGGGAGAAGAAAAGAGGGCCTAGGACAGAGCCCTCAGGGACACCTGTAGTTTGCAGGTAGGATGTGGATGAAGATCCAGCAAAGGAAACAGAGAAGGAGCAATCAGACCAGTAGGAAGAGAACCAGGTGAGAGCAGTGTCCTGAAAAGCTAGGGAATGTGTGACCTGGACATTGCCTCACCAAAAAGAAAAATAAATAAATAAATAAAAAGCTAGGGAGAAGAGAGTAATCAGCAGTGCCCAAGGCTGCAGAGAGGTCAAAAAGGATGAACTAAAAGGGAGTCTCCCAGTGAAAAGTTATCATGTTTTGAAGTCTGAGACTTTTTTTCTGGTGGTAGTCAGGGAAGAATATGCATGTATGCCTGTGTGTGAGAGAAGAAACGGAATGCTGGGAAGAAAGGGGAAATGTGCACTTGTGGAAAGGGAGGGTTGTCTGATTATTTTAAATGTTTATCTAACATAGTTTTGTTATTAAATTTTGTTAAGTGCTTGATGTCTGTAAACCACTTGAGTAGCAGCATCATATAAATACTTAATAACAGTAATATCCAAAATAGATAACTTCCCTTAACAATATCAGTTCTTCTGTTTTAAAACCCAAGTTACTTATATCTTGTTATTTCTCTCTATTTATCCCTCTACTCACTTCATGTATACCAGAAAAGTAATGAGAAAACAAGAAAAAAAATACTAAGAAAATCAAAATGGAATGCTTGGTTTTATGCATATTTGCATAAATATGGTAATCCCTTCAATGTTTAAAACATTTCCCCTGATTGAAAGTGTTAAACTCTACTTTGTTTGTCTAGTTATAGCTAAGTCTGTTTATAATGTGTAATATATCTAATGGCCTAATTTTAAGAATTAAACTGAAGCCATTAGAAGAATGATTTTCCTTTCCATCATTCAAGACTTTCATATAAATGTAAAACTATGATTGTACATGTTTGGAAGGAAAAGAAAGGATAAATTTGCATTGCTACACTCTCAAATCTAAAAAAAAAATGGTAAAAACATACAAAAATTCTCCTCATATTCCAGTTGGTTAAAGCAACTAGGTTGTCATACTTGATTGACAAACCTAAAATAGCATACTGGTAATTATTAAATACTCACTATTATCTGTCAAAACAAAATTAGGAATTAGGAATTGCTGGTTAGAATGGTGCTTTTCTTTGGAACTTCGATAATGTTAAAATAACAACAACAACAATAATAAAGTTGTCAACCATCTGAAATTGGAAAAACAAATCCCTGAAGACCCAACTTTGCTATCTGGGCAAGGCTGGTATGAACTGAATTATCACTGCTGCTATGCAACCATTCTCAGAAGCCTCAGTGGTGATAATAGGAGACACTGACTCCCTTTGCATCCCAGGACTGTTGCTCCCTTAAGGGCTGGAGAAGAGGAAAATCCTTCATGGGAATAGGGAAGGAGCTCTCCTTTCAAATAAACAACTTAACTTAGAGCAACAGCGCTCTGGCCTGCTTCCTCATTTGACTGCTCATCCTTCACATTAGTGAACAGGAGATTAATGAGAGTACTGCACTAACTCTCAGTGATTTATTCGGGTTAAAAAAGCGAATTTAGCAACAGTTCCAAGACATCATGAGAAAAATGCTCTTATCAATCAGAAAAGACGCAGGTAAAAGAGGTGTTTCGCTAGTCATTTTTCAAGCCCATACGTACATTTAATTAAGCAGTATATATCTGACTTTCAGTTGTTTGGTTCCAAGAGACAACGATCATCCTTGGAAGATGAAAAGGTCTTCTACAAATTATTTGTTCCTTTTCATCTTCCTAATGCTTCATATGAAATCTAGGTAGATTGTTAGAGATTTGATAAAGGTTGACCAAAATATAAAGAAAATTAATAAGAAGAAAGGTAAAAAATGATGTGTCCTTTTACCTGGTATACCTTTGAATTATTTAAATCTAAGTAGGAAAGAGAAACTTCAACATAGTACCTTAGGAGGGACCTCTCATGAAAATAACAGCATCAAAGGACATGTGGGCAAGGTTCTATTACTGAATAAAACTTAGCTGGGACTTTAAACAGTGCTGGGAAAGAGTTTGTTTTTTATGTTGGAAATACAGAGGGGAGAGGGCTGGGGAACAGTTGTGTATTAGATATGATTTAAAAAGATGAAGAGCTGAGGGAAAACAGCTGGCTGACAATGTTAAATTACTCAGTTACAGAAAGCAAGTCTAAATTCTGAAGTAATAATCAAATAAACCTACCATTTATTGAACTTGTTATGAACTTTAAAGGCAGCTAGGTGGTGCAGTGGATTGGGTGCCAGGCCTAGCGTCAGGAAGAGTCATCTTCCTGAGTTCAAATCTGGCCTCAGACATTTACTAGCTGTATGACCCTGGGCAAGTTACTTCACCCTGTTTCCTCATCTGTAAAATGAGCTGGAGAAGGAAATGGCAAACCACTCCAGTATCTTTGCCAAGAAAACCCCAAATGGGATCATGAAGAGTTGGATACAACTGAAAAATGACTGAACAATAACAAATTATGAACTTTGCGACTTCTTTTATGTATAAATCAATTTGTATTATGTTTATCTGTCAGAACACCTTATCTCCCTTGCTTTTATTGTTACTTCTTGGAAGGCAGAAGCTCTGCCTTATTTTTCTGTTGTTATCCCCCAAACCTTAGGCACAGTTAATTGCATGTCGTAAACATTAAACAATTATTTTTTGATTGAAAAAAGTAATGGTCTTGATCCTCAATGAGACTGTAATTTGGTTGGGGAGATAAAATGAACATATAACAATTAAAGAACAATTAGGGAATACTTAAGTGCTGTAGGAATTCAAAGAAACTCTTCAAATATTTAATAAAACTAAAGTGACTGAACAACATAAAAGGTGAATAATAATTTAAAGCTGGTCCTTTGGGCATCACACTGAGCTATTCCACAATCAAACACATTGATGGCTTCAGCATTAGTATATATACTCAAAAAGATGGGTTGGTATTTGGTGATTCATTTAAAGTACTTGTTCAATGTTCAGTGTACAACCATGATAGATAAGTCAATGAGGAGACTGGTAGAAATAGAATGGGAAAATCAATGCTTATACATAGAGTTTACATTTTCCAAACTAAAATAAAAGGAATTTCCAAAAGAACTGATGCTAAAATAAAGCCAACAAATGTTTACTAAATACCCAGAGCGTAGATAGCAATGTACACTTTAGCACTGAGGGATACACAAAATATTACAAGACACAGTCCTTGGCCTCAAGCAAATTACAATGGACTTGGAGAGACAAATATAGCTAAGGCAGCATAGGAGATTGTGAGCCTCATGACCACGGAGACCTGCTTTCATGTTCACCTTTGACAAATATTGGCTGGGTAACTCTGGAAAAATCATTTAACCTTTCAGGGCTATCTTCTCTAAGACTTTATATTCCTGAGAAGGTTCCTCATCTGGGAGTTCCCTATATCAGTGAAATCACAGTTCTAGTTTCTATCTCTATCTCTATCTCTATCCCTATCCATTGGGAGATAAAACAACAAATACTGAAAAAAAAATTAAACAACAATAAATTATTTCAATAACTCAAAGCAGCAGTTGGTGAGCTTTCATAAAAATACATGATTATTTGCCAAATGAATCAGAGAAACAATAATTACTATAGGATGTCAAAGGAAGTTGAAGTTTCTGCATGTTAGGATGCTTAGGGAAGGTTTTGAGGAAGAGTACAGAGTTCAATTAGGTACTGAAGAATGGTTGATAGAAGGAAAACGGCACATGCATTTTCAAAGCACAAGAATATTTACTTTGTTAAAAAAAGGCAATAAGTACAAAGGTAGTAGTAAATAAAATAATGTTGTACTTCATCATATTATTTTATGTACTACTTATGTAAGAATATATAATAGACACAAGTATTTGTTGAAGGGTTGATAATGTAGCAGGAGTTCATTTGAATTTGCCTTAACCTATTAAAATATTAACAAAATTCATATTAAAAATAACACCTGAAATGCATAGATCCACATTTGAACCAAATTTAAAAAAAAACCCAACAACCCTTTTATGTCATATGCAACATCCCCTGTCACACTAGCAAATGGGTCAAGAAGACTAAAAATATTACATATATAAAAACAAGAATAATATTTATAGCAACATTAGGTAGATTAAAAAGTGATAAGAAACATGGATTATTACTTTGGT